GGAGCAAATAATGGTTTTCACCTGCAGTCATGCGTGGTTTCAATCGACTTTGCAGAAAAAGAGATAGTGTATTTGCGGTTCGCGGCGGGGCCACGGATTGGTTGAGATGTGGTGCGGTGACGCAGTGTGTTTCTACGCTGAGGCTCTTGGATTACATCAGTTGAAAGTAAGCGCTCTGTGGTGTTCTTCTTCTGTCTATGTCTTAAAGCGCAATCATGTTTTCTCACGGCAATACCAACTCGCCCAACAATCAGCAGTGGTAGGAGAGTTCTGAGGGAGACCATGCGTATTTTGACCTCTGGTAATTGTGTAAGCACACCGTCCTTGGCACTGGACAGTGACATGAAGCGTTTTTTTTTGTGTGTGTCTCTATAAGATCTTGTTTTATGCGTTTTCTAAGAATTGTAAGGGCTGTGCTGGAGCTGGAGTTGCCTGTTATCGCATGTGGCTGGTCAGCCCTCAAGCGAGGTCATCAGGGTGGCTGGTTGGTGTGAATTATTTAGATATGCCTGAATCATGAATCATATGGGTTCTGTCTGAATGTACGGCTCTCGGTGACCTAGTGAAGAGGAGGTGTTTCTTTTTTGGTGGTGAGGGTCTCGAGGTTATGTAACAACGTTCGTTGTTCAAATAAACTACAAACTGTGTTTGAGACTTGTTGTTTTGTTCGTTTTTTTATCGTTCCGCGTCTCCGTTTTCTATGGAACTTCTACATTTATTGATATACCGGGTGAAACAAGGAGACGGTAGGCTCTTTAAATCGACCGGAAAATTCGGTTTCTTAACCTATCGCGCTACGACTTTGTGCAGCGTCGCCCACAGATGGTGCATTTTTTTTGTAAAATTTGCAAAGAGCGAACTTGCCTGAGGAAAAAGTAAAGAAAGAAAAAGGCTTAGCGCCTATGGAAACGCAGCGACGCCACCGGTCTGCAATCAACACGGCGCCGTTTTGCACGGTAGACAAAAGATGGCGCAACAAACGCCGCCAACAAATGAGCATACGGCGCCGAGAGCCAGCGTTTTTAGCAGACGATCTTTTCGAATCAAAAGCGGCGCGCGTTCCGCAAACGGCGACAGTTGCAGAAACAAAAACAGGCGCGGTAACAACAAGCAACTGCAGTTCCTTGTCTGCTAAAAACGCCGGCTCTCGGCGTCGTCTGCTCGTTCGTTGGCGGCAGTTGGCGTCGCGACCGCTTGCGCCATCTCTTGTCTACCGTGCGAAACGGCGCCATGTTGATTGCAGACCGGTGGCGTCGCTGCGTTTCCATAGGAGCTAAGCCTTTTTCTTTCTTTACTTTTTCCTCAGGTAAGTTCGCTCTTTGCAAATTTTATGAA